GTCAACATTCCTGGTAGAGGAAATCTATGGCTAAACATCACACGTATGACATATCTGGTGATGGGAAAGTATAACAAAATCAGATTAGCTTTATTTAAACACCAAACACAAATAATGAATTGTCATGTAACATCACATTGGGAAAAAGGGGACAACCCTTTAGCTTTAAGACCTGGTGGTAATGTGTTATTTATATACACCAACAATGACTTTCATCACACTTCCTCTTCTCAATGGTACAAATCAGAGGAACTTCCTTACTGTGGTCTATAGCTCAGTATACTCCAAACCTGCCAACATGTCTTTTGTGGACACTCTGCGCCAGTGGGATGAGGCGGTAACTTGCGTCAACAGACAAGATTTCTCCAAAGCACTTGAGATTTTCTTGGGTATTCAGGAACCAAACTCCAAAATTTATTTTGACATTGGCTGTCTCCATCTTCTTGACCAAGACTTTGATGCTGCTGAAAAGGTATGTCTGATCTGCAGGCTGAAGCATAAACACACAAATATTAACAGCTGTCGTATCAGCAAATTAGTCCAAACAAGAAACTCTTTTGATAGTTGCTGAAATACAATTCTCCGATATGCTGCCTGAAAGCGCAAGTCACTGAGAAAGGAGAAGTAGACCTTACCATGTTTTCTAGAGGAAGTGACAGTTTCTTTGTTTCTCAGGCGTTTGATTGCAGCATACGCAAGGATGAACATTTGGCCATTGCCTTCTTTCAAAGAGGAATCACTTTTTACAAAAAGAAGAGGCAAGACACACCTGTCTTTTTTCTTTCTTTCTTTTTTTTTTAAAAAAAAGGACCTTTTTTTTATGTTTAATGTTGTGATTTAAAAATGCTTAATAGTATATCATATGCAAATGTTTTAACTTTATTGTCTCTACATAAAGGTATGAGGAGAGTTTAGCGGACTTCCAGAAAACCTTTAAAACACTCAGGGGCAACCAGCTGATAGATTACAAAGCGCTTGGTCTCAGATACATACTATATGCTTGTGATGTGAGTATTCTTGATTCTATTATTAATCCTGAACATTACACCTAAATAATTCATTTGATGTTATGAGCTGTTCATTCATAATACAACTTAGCATTCTTTTTTCCTGGCCAAGGACACAAGCTTAACAATGTCTCCACAGGTTCTCCACAATATGGCCCTGGTTGAAGCTGAGCTGGGTAACTGGGAAAAGGCCCAGGAACACCTCACGAAGGCTCTTAACTACAAGACAGAGGCCAGGTTTAATATCATCGACAAAGCTCTGCAATCAATCCTAGTGAGTTGTGATACAATCACTTTTGTCAACCCATTTAAATGTGATTATATTTATGATATCAAATGTAGTAGTTTCTTCATTCCATTAACCTATATTTGGTAAGTTGATATGGTTTATTCTAATTTTGCTTTAAATCAGGTGACAGGATAATGATATGCACATGACTTTAAGTGTCACTCACACTGAAATTTCACCAACAGAAGCAGAAACTTTTCAAACTGGTCGAGTTCCAATCAAAAGAGATGTTTAAACCAAATAAGCACTATGTTGCAGAGCTGGAGAAGAAAGACTACCTGGGCAAAGCAAAGGTGACTCATTACCCAGCCTGTTTTATCTAATCTAGTGTGATTATAAAGTTATCAAAAGTCAGCATCTCTACACACACACACACACACACACGCATATATATATATATATATAAATATATAGAGGAGAAATTATTGTTGAGTGATATCTATAAGCCACTTTCCCCCCGTTATCATCAGGTCGTTGCCTCTGTTGTTCCTCAAGATGAGTTCTCTGGATTTGCCCCATTGCAGCCTCAGGTGACACGCTGGCTTTTATTGGCCATAAAAACTTTACAGTTTGATGATAGACTGAACCTTTACATACCCCTGTGTGTTGCCATGTCTGTGATGGACTGTGTTTTTTTTTTTTATTTGATAGGTGCAAGATGGTCCAACTCGTCCAAAAGAGCCTGAGGTTCTGAGGTATGATAGTCACTTTGGATCCATGCCGATTTGAAACTCTTTAAACAGAAATGATTTTAGTATTTAATGATGTTGTAGGTGGCAAGTTTTTGTGATATGTGGATTCGCCACTATACATGTTTACAACGTACAAATACAAAATGTGGGAAAGCATGAGACATATCTATGAAACTGTGCTTTCCACAAAGAGAAAAATGGGACTCAGAGTGTAGGTTTAATAATTAAAACCTGAAAATAGACATGTACCGTTACACAGAATAGTGGCAACTTTAACCTTTGTGTCTTATGTCTCTTCAATTTCACTTCAATTCCATTCAGTTTTACACAACAACAGTCGCTTCAATGTGTTTTATATTGTAAGGTAGACCCTACAACAATACATACAGAGAAAAACCCACCAATCATATGACCCCCTATGAACAAGCACTCTGGCGACAGTGGGAAGGAAAAACTCCCTTTTAACTGGAAGAAACCTCCGGCAGAACCAGGCTCAGGGAGGGGCGGGGTGAGAGAAGGAAGACAGGATAAAAGACGTGCTGTGGAAGAGAGCCAGAGATTCATAACAAGTATGATTCAGTGCAGAGAGGTGCATTAACACATAGTTAGTGAGAAGAAGAAATACTCAATGCATCATGGGAATCCCCCAGCAGCCTACACCTATTGCAGCAAAACTAAGGGAGGATTCACTCTTGATGCTATGTGGACATTTCTTGTGTTTACAGGGTGTTGGAAGGAGAACCGCACACTGTGCTCTTTGAGTTTATTCCTGAGACCAGTGATGAGCTGGCTGTAGTGCCGGGCAATATTGTGTTTGTGTTGCAGAAGGGTGCTGACAACTGGGCAAATGTGGTCTTCAATGAAAGAGTAAGATCTCCACATCTGCCACTTATTGTACAAATTTTAACACCAGTACACTGTGTTGTTTTTATGCACTAAAGCCAGCATTCATATCATGTACTTTTATCACACAATTAATGCATTGCTGGTGTCTGCTGAGAGTAAACATGGCTGTGATGTCTTTCACAGAGGGGGCTTGTTCCTTACAACTATCTGGAACGTTTGGAAATCTCCTTAGCTTCTAACAAAAACAAGGTAAGCATTTATTTGTCATTATTCTCAATTGTTGGTGTCATAATCAATGACTCTGGTAATGTCAGCGCTTAAAACATTGTAGTTTCCTTTCCAAGCTTTTAAAATAACACAGTCTTTACTTTTCTTTATTTTGAATGGGAACAACTATAAACAGGGAATAACTCCGCCTCCAAGCCGACAGCCACCCACCAGACCTGAAAGGATACAAGGTTGGCTTTTCTGGTACAGGATACAAAAATTAAATGAGGATTTTCGAATGATATCTGAGCCTTATGTGAAAAATCTAATTTTCCATATTTTCTTTATGTAAGGTCTTACTCCAAGTGAAGTCACTAGTGGAAATCGTCAGCGACAGGTATGCCAACGCAAAGAAAATGAGAAGTACTGAGATGTTTAATTCTGGCTGTTATTTTAAGTTCTTTTATTTCCTCTCATCATTTCCAGGAAAAACAGTCCACAGACAATTCATGTATCGTCAAAGTGCATTTCAATTTCAACTTTGTCGTCTCAGTCCCGTGTGGGTCACCCTACACGATGCTGATTGAGAAAATCAGCAGGAAACTGAATCTTCCTTCTTCTGCAATCACCTTGAGGTAGAGTGCATAATTAAGAAAACAAGAATGTTTGGTATGCATTGTTTGTACTTACAACTGAATACCTTTACTGGGTTTAGTTTAACCTCTGAGGCAAGTGAACAAAGTGTAATCAGTGCCAACACAGAAATGGAGGAGCTGTGGAGCCGTGCCAGCGGTGGGCGTGTCACTTTGTGGTGTAACACCAAGGAGGTAAGAGAGCAACCATCTATTGCCATGTTATTGCTGTTGTTATAGTAACAACAGCAATATTCCCAGTATTAGCGATACTGACGTAGTTTTAGTATCTTTTTGTTTTTGCACTCCTGTTATAATTTCCGTCTACACTGATAACCATTGTGGATCTTTGGGGATTTCAGGAGGAGATTCACCTGGTGGCACTTCACTCCTACGAGTCATCAAATCCCGAGGATCTGAATTTTCAGCAAGGGGATAAAATCAAACTGCTCTCTAAAAGTGAAGCTTCATTCTTTTATACGTCAAACATACAGAAACTCTACAATTTGATGGAATATATGATTCTAATTCACAATTTGTTCATCTTCAGTTAACCAAGACTGGTTGGAAGGGCAGTGTAACGGGAATACTGGGATATTCCCTGCATCCTTTGTGGAAGAAGTTCCTGCGAATGGCCAGTGATTTATGGCCAGGTTTGCTAATCTGTTATAAAAGCTGAAAACACTGATTAACAACTTTTCAAAAGTTGTTTGCTTTGGTGATAAAATGTGCCACTTCTTTTGATATACCAAGTCCAAATATGATGATTACAATAGCTGATTATAAATGCTTAAAATGTTACAATTTCCACTTATGTACATTATTTAAATGACTTTTAGTCAAAAATTTTAAGTCTGTATCTTTGCATTTATGTGGCTTCATATGAATTTCACCTTTCTTCATTATGTAACAATTTAAAAAGAGCACTATATAAAGACTTACTATCAAACTTTATATTAGAAAAAACATAAAAAAACAGGACTGCATTTATTTTGAGGTCATCCTGACAGGCCTGGTCCAGATATCACAGGTATGTAGGATGTTGCAGCATGGAGTCAGTTTCATTAATTCTCCAGAACATTATGTGTACAATGTTGTGCAAAAGTCTTAAGACACCCCTTATTTTTTCTATGGAGCCAGACTTTCTTGTAATTTCTTAAAGGGGTCTTAAGCAATAATTCTTCATTTTCCTAGTAAAATACAGAAATGAGGGGCGGCTCCACACTTTTGCACAACACTCTTATTTAACAATGTAAAGCAAATAAACACATGAAATGCAAAGGTTATATGCATTTTACTTATTTTGCTAAAGAAAATGAAAAATATGAACTGTGGGATATTTTAATACGTTCAGCAAATTGTTTTCTTTTCTTTGCAGTGTTACAATTTCCTTCTGCTATAAAGCTCAAACCCAGGGTCAGCGTAGAGGTCATAAGATTTGAAAAGTGCATTTTTATACTTAATACATTTCCACTTCATACAAGGCCAATTTCCTCCAAGTTGCGTGAATAATTTAAGATGAGTGGTCATCTGACACTTGGGCTATTTTTTTCTAACACTCAGAGATCAAAATACATTTCAGTCATTTCCTGGTTCAGAGTAACAACCTTTGGTCTGGTTATGATGTCATAATACTGTAATCACTGAATCACAGATTCCTATAATTTAAGTAATGCAGTATTAAAACTACCACCGCCTGGTACTGATGTTAATAAAAAAAACATTTAATAATCACTTTCTTCTTCCAGTAAATACAGCTTATATGCTATACATTTGGTACATTGATAGGTTATTTATTAATTTACCAAAGACATTGTGGATTATTGGTAAAAATGATCACGACGATGTTCCTTCCTCCTCGTAGGCTATAGCTATGCCTCTCCTGCCCTCTACTGCTTTCACCACAGGTGTCTCTCCCAGCTTCTGCTCTAAACCGATCCAGCTTCGACCTGCAAGAAAAGATGCTGGAAAAAAATAATAATAAAATGAATAAATAAACACTTGTAGTGTAATACAAGATATTCATAAGTGTCTACTTTTGTATAGGAATTCACGCATGTTGATTAGGTGGAGCACACTGTCATACCAGCTGAGTTTGTGTTTGCTACGGTCAGCGTCTGGTTCCTCAAGACCACAGAGGACCCATAGGCCGGCTCTGTAGGCTCACTGCTCAGGAGATTGTGGCTTCGCAGAGCACCAGTGATTAATGAAACGTCACTTTCATCCTCCTCGTCCTGCTGATCAGCCAAAGATACGTGACTCTGTCCACCTACAGCAAGTTTGGGAAGAAAAAGGTTAGACGTGGCAAAATGAAACTACATTACACTACTGATAACAGACATATAGAAACATTTCCTGAAGGGTAATGGCCGCATGTTTGATTTTGCAGATTTGCGTCTACTCTCTAGATTAAACCTGGGCTCTTTTGCTTGTTTGGAGAACACGTAAACCACTACACTACGAAGCCATATAGACAACACCATTAACATCCTTAACATTAATACAGAACTTTAAGAGAGTTCATTTAAGAAAAGCTGATGTGAAAAACTCCCAATCGCACCTGGCAGGAGATGTCGGAAGTCTGTGACATATTCCTCTGACCATTCCCTCTTCCTGTTGCAGGCCACCTCCATCTCAAACGGCGTCACTACAGGTTTTAAAAACCCCCTTGAGTCCAAAAGTGAGCTCTCTGGACATGCAATTAAAACAAAGATGTCAATTTCAAGAAAGTTTGCCAGTTTGGGTACGTTCAGCTTCCCCATGGCAAACATGTAGCTCTTCTTGCCAGCTCTCTTGATGGTCTCTTTCAGCTGCTCAATGATAGAGAGGTAATCGGCAACCCCCAGAGTCCCAACCAGGATGCCGACCACATTGGCATCCTTGGCCCTTTCTATAGCATAGTATCTCTTCATCAGAGCGCGGCTGATGCTTATAGACTCGACCTGCCCCTTCGCTGTCACAGGGTCAAAAGAGCAAAACGAGCACCGATTCCAAGTCATCATGAAGTTTCGCAGGGTCGCTCCCTCCTGGCCCACATAAAACATACTGCAGTCCGTGACGCTTAAACTGCTTTTCAAGGTGAACTGACGTCCAAACTGATAGATGACCTGGCCATCGTCTTGGTCAGAGAGACGGGCGTCATCATCTTGTCTTTTAATCTGCCCATGACTGTAACACTGCTCCCCTTCAACAACAATTTCAGATGCAACAAGGTTTGGATACTCTGGTGACAGTAGAGCCAAAAGACCATCTGAGGGAGGAAAAAAAATAAAAATGTATACTGGTAAATATCTGTGGACAGATGGGACTGATCGAAACACAAAAATCTGTGTTGAGACATAGTAATTCGAAGGATCACACAAACTTTTCAAGGTGACTGCAAACTTACTAATGGCATGAGCATAGTTGACATCATAGAGGATGATTATGTGACTGTGTCTGTCAGGGTAGAGTTCTCTGAAGGAGGAGGCACACTTCTCCACATCTACTGCTCTTTGCTCAAAGATGTATAACAAGGGCAGCCTTCTGGATGGGCTAAGGCAAGCACTGCCATAGTGCACAATGCAGTCAGCGCCAACGTGTTCTGCAGCGACCTCATCCACACAGCAACTGCACATGAGAGTTCAACAAAAGTGTTAAATAAGTTAACACCCTTACTAGATGAGGAATTTCCTTGCACACTGTTTTATATAACACCGAATGCTTCTTTTATATCAAAATAAAACTCCCAGTAAATATTCTCATGTACTGAAAAACAGAGCTGAGATTTTGAATCCAAAGTCTGACAGGTCTGGAGATGTTGACAAGTTTTTGTCAAAAATATCAGTGAATGCAACCTGCCACCAATTTTAAAACCCAACTTTACTTGATGACTCAAAACCATTAAAAAAACAGTGTTGCATGAGTGCATTAAAGCAATGATTTCTTAAATCTACTGTGTTACCTTCCATAGGATGTATCACCCAAAATGTATGACTTGGCATTAGTGTTTCTCTCGATCTCTTCTGCCACTGCAACTGAATCCACCAACAGCTCATCGGGAAACTGCAGAGCTACCTGCACACACGGCAACCAATGTAATAATAATTAATAAATAAAGTATAAATTAGGCACTGTTTTATATTTTTAAACTGCAGTTGCTTTTAATTAAAACAAGACATATTAAGAATATTTGGCTACTAGGCCATAAATGCTTTTGTAAACAAAGGTGAGTGACATCTAAGAAAGTAAAATGTTGCTCCTCCTTACCTTTTCAAACTGATGCTCACTGATGAAGTCGCAGGTTTTTTTAATCTGATAAAACTTTTCCAGGTCATCCGCAGGTGTGCTCGTCTTCACTGCAACTCCCACCACACGCTGAATTACAGTTTCCGAGCTGCTGCTAAACGCACCAGCCATGTCTGTGCTGTGAACCCGTAGAAATGCGTGTAGAAACACAGTAAACTGGATTCAGCAACCCAGATATTTTAAATGAAAATCTGACAGACGTTAACGAAAGTCATAACACTGAAAAACAGCACATAGTGCGGAAAATGTAGTTTAGCTGTCTGCTAGCTTAGCTGGAGCTAGATTCCCTATAGGTGTCCGCGGAGCCTCTAAACAAACTAAGTGCTGTTTCTAATCTGTCAGGTTGTGTATTTGTAGGGCTACACAACGTATACTCACAACTCAGAGTCATGGAGTTACTTGTGGACTTATAAATGTTCACTTTACAGCTACACACGTGTCAATATGATACTCCATCCTTTCTGCTGAGGGAATGACTTCCGGGTCAAATGTTTTTCAAAATAAACTTCGCCTGGCACGATTAAGAAAATACTTTTTGTTTCGCTCGTCCGGTATTCACAACCTCATCAAAAATCTCTCTGCTATCACTCCTACAACTCTCAATTCTAGATGACTGAGTTGCAGACATATAGGTTTCCCATTATTGTAATGCTCAAGGAGTACTGATAGATTTTGAAAATGGAAAGGAAAGCAGCTCAAGCTTCCTTCACTTCACTGCCCACCTGTACTAAAAGCACAAACCTCACAGACAACAGCTAGATCAATCTTACATTTATTGATAATACATTTTATTTAAATAACACGTAATATTTGTCCCAGAATCTTTCACATATTTCTGAAAACGACCAAAAAAAAAAAAGTACAAAAATCTTTGTGCCTCAGTATTAATATTATGTTCTCTCCAGTATTTAAAATTACTAAGTGAATTGTCAACTTGGTTCCAGAAGCCATAAAACAAGACAATAAAAAATTAATTAAAAAACTGTCTGGGTGGTGCGGTAGAAATTTTTGATGAATGAATGTATTTATCAAATAACTTCCACGAGTGATCGGTGAAGGAGCTGGTCCTTCCATAAGTTCTACTTGTAAAAAAGATCACCACTGCCCGGGAAATAACAAATCATAGCACATTCAGAGGATGCAGTAACAATTCAAGTATTATCAAAGTCAATGATCAAAGTCCTGATTACATCCAAACACGATAAAAACCCAAGACCACAGTGAGGCACGTAAACACTGAACCTGCAAGAGAAAAAAAATATCACATGCAATTATTTGTACCAGCTGTATCTGTAAGAAAATAAAAGATAGAAAGTGTAACTACAACCCATATTTAACATGCATGTGTACCTGCAAGGTATTTTATAGTATCCAGTTTATGAGACTCCAACATGGTTTTCAATCCAGCCACTTCTGTGTCTATTTTCATGTTTGTCTGAGTCAAATAGCGCTCCTGTTCTGCAGTCTGTAAAAAAGGCAAGGCGATAAAGACCCATGATAAATTAAAAGCAAGCATTAAAAACCTTTAATGGAGAATAGAAATAAATGACTGAATGCAGTGTGCTATAAACCCAAATGCATGTATACAAACCATTTCCATAATCTCAGTTCGTGTTTCTAGAAGTTTCTTCTCATGCTCTGCTCTCTGAAAATAAAATGTGATTTCATGACACCTTTTGTGAGACGACATTGGTAAACGCTCCTTTGCACATGTAAAAATAAATGCAGGCAATGTTTGTGTAACTGTGACACCATGGCATAAAATGCAAACATAATTATAGGCAGAACTTCATGTGGGAACAATAAAGTCGTGTAGTTTTAAATTCAGTCATTTTTTTTCCAAACAATAATTGAACTGATCTCCTCAAACACGTACCAATTCTTTCACTTGGCTTTTCTCCAAATTCATATCCAACATATTGTCTGACTGCACTTTTTTCATTTCATCCTGCAACGTTGTAAAAAAGAGACACACAAAAGAAAGTCAAAACATTTTTCTAAATGGAGATTTCAACCAAGTTAAGATAAATCAAATACGATCAAGGAATGGGAAAATGCTATTCATGAAGGTTAATACATTCACAGTAATCACTTACAGCTAGTTGGACCTTGAGCTGGAGCAACTGGACCTTGAGTTTCTGGGAGAAAGGGCAAAACACTGACACAGTCAGATTAAGTGGAAGGAAATCGTTGGCACAAACACACTGTGCAGTCATCCCTGTTTCTACTACTGACAGACGAAACGATCAAGTCAAACGTGATACACTGTCACTGCAGTAAGTGATCTTTATCGAACAAATAATTTTTCTTCTTAAAACAACTCCGAAAAAAACATTTACCTCATTTTCTGCCAGCAGAGCAGAGAACTCGCTCTTCTCAAGGATCACCATGTCCTTCTTTACAGCGGCTATTTGAGACATCACACGCTGCAACATGATCTCCTGCCAAGATCGCACAAAACGTTAGAGGGTTCACCATAAAAATAAAGTACTGTAGTGCGAGTGGAACACACTAAATTCAGAGCTTTTAGAAAAGTTATTGCCGCTGTGGCTTTGACAGGCACAGCATGTGGTGGGGATTTAATTAACACACCGATATCAAACCATAGATGGTAATGTGAAGTATATGATAGCCTTGATCTTTCACTTTATAGCCTTTACCAAGGCTCTGGGAGAGCAAAGCATTCACATACAGCAAAGAGTGGTTTAACCTATAGAAATCCTTAATTAGTGAAGATAAATGGGTGGATACCAGAAGATGTAAAATATTAAATTATAACAAGACTTAGCTCTTATTTTTGTCCTCATATGCTTTCTCTAGATCCACAAAAAAAGTGCAGCAACTCCTCCTCCTCTATACTTCTCCATCAAAACAAAGCAAACATCACACCTGTAGTGCTCTTTCTCAGCATGAAGCAGTACTGCAGTGCAAGTGGAAAACACAAACAAATTATTATTCTTCCTAACATAACTACAACAACTCGTTCCCATATCTTCATGGTATGGATCAATAACTCTATCCTTCTGTAGTTAGTAGAGCTCAACACGTGACCCTTTCATTCTCCAAAATTGTGAAACAACCTTGATATAAAGTCCACTGCCATCTTTTACTAGACATTTCCATATTTCCACAGGTTTGTCATCTGGACCTACCACTTCTCCAATCTTCATTATCTTCATAACTACACCCACCATACTAAACCTTCTCCACTTCCTGATCCATCCTCCCCTCTCTTTCATTTCCTTCTTCCATCAGCTCTCAAAGTACTCCTTCCATCTTCCATCCTGCTGCACATCCTTTCCAGCTTAACCTCCCTGCTTAGCCAAATGATACCAGTCCTTTTCTCTTACCTCAGTGTCCAGCCTCACAGTCAACTCACTCTAAGGCCTTTAGATATGAAGTCCAGGAAGAACTATTAATCATGTACAAGCGATGTCATGGTGGCTGCCACTTGGAAATCCCAGCGATATATGGATTATGGAATTTTTTTAACATTAATACCGACTTAATAAGAAGTGGAATATTATATTATATTATAGCTAGAAAAGGGGGGTTTTGAGCAATATTTTATAATAAGATGTAAATTTTAACATTAAGAAAAAAAAAAGATATTCCCATATCACTATCAGTCTTAACATTGTTAAAAGAGCCAGTAAGAGTGATCACGGAGAGCTGTATCACAGATCGGCCTTATTCTCATCAGACATTCCAGTGCCATGAATTTTCAAAAGTAACTCATCACGGACACCAACATCAAAGGTTTCTAGGAACACAAGCACTGTTTGTATTTAACTACACAGGTCAGTGTTTTCATAGTACAATGACCAACCCAGCGATCCTGGTTCACTGACCTTTACGGGACCAGAGAAAAAGGCTTGTGAGTGAACACACAGAGGAAACACAACCAACGCCTGCACACAGTGCACATTATTGTACTGCTGTCTCACCTGCTGCACTTTGGTTATCATGTCACTGTAAATGACATCCATGTTAGAGTTTGTCATCTTCACCAGTACGCTGACCATGCCTTCAGACTGAGATGTAGTGAAACCTGTTCATAAGAGAAAAAAAATATGTTCTTATAAATGAAATCAATGCAACCTACTATTTTAAAAGAAATATAATGCTGTAGCTTTTTTAATCGAACAACTAACCATTTTCCTCAAGGAGTCGCACCACTGCATGCGTATCAAAGAACAGCTTCTGGCCTTCAGCCTTTGGTACGTCTGGTTTTAGATCATACTGGAAAGCTTTGACAGAGGTTTTAAGAAACACAGCATTTTAGAATGACCTCAACACTGTAATACACATAAATATTAACATCTTGTTTAGGTTGCTGTATGTAGCTTTTGATTTTTTCAGTCTATTTATTATCTGAAATGAACCGTTCCATTTGGAATCACACACACACACACACACACACACACACACACACACACACACACACACACAAAACCAATTTCCAAAAAATTTAGGATGCTGTGTAAAATGTAAATAAAAACAGAATGCAAGTGATTATATGTGTCTTATGTAAATGTACTTGATAATGATGGTGCCCAAGAACCACCCAGCACCTGGCAGAGCCCCAGATGCAGAAGATGTCCAAGCCACCCTTGTCTACCACCCCCAAGGCAGCAGGTCAGTGACCACAGTGGCCACATGGAGCAAAATCATCAAGCACCCACATCCAAGGGACAGACAGCAGCGTCCAGAAAGGAGTGACAGGGAGGGGGGATTACTCACCCTCCATCATCAAGTCCCACAGGGAACAGGGAACTATCCCATGTTTTTTTTAGATGTGTTGCTGCCATAAAATGAGCTAATATTTTCCATTAAATATTGAAACATCTCGGTTTAAACATCTGATATGTTTTCAGTGTTTTCTGTGAATAAAATATAGATGTATGCGATTTGCAGACACCTGCGAACTAATTAATTATTATGGAGGTAGCCAAAGTTTAGCACCATCACAGTCCACAAGTTGACTTTTATTTTGACATGCACATGGGCTACAGTAACTTTTTTTGTTACGATACTGGATGTTGTGTTTTTCTCCACAATTTTAATTATGAGCTAGATACATTGCTGCTAACAGCAACAGGGATGAGTCAGTGAGTCAGTTGGGCTTGTGAATCATGATTCATGAGTCAGTAAAGTGATTCTCGAGTATTGAACGATTCGTTCATGATTCGCGCATCACTAGTTTTGAAGGACGTATGATTGCGGTCTTTGGAAGAAACGAAGCTCCAGTTCACTTGTGCACTTTATGTAAACTAGGTCATCACAGCTAAAAACTGCCATTTTTATGGGTCGTGGCGACGTTTGAAGTGGCAGACATGCAGTTAAAGACTGTTTGATACTGTAAGCGTAAGCGCTGTTTGTTACCTCTCACGGACATCCATGTCGCAGCAGACAAATGCGTAATGTTCACTCCAGGAGCTCGTCTCCATCTCAGCGGTGTCTTC